AAAAAAAGAGAAACAGAATAGGGAGAGAAGAAGAAAGATAATGAAAGAAGGGGAAGTAAGCGGCGAGGGTGACGAAGGTGAAGGTGCCGGCAGCCATAGCCGAGGTGAAGGGTTGACCGGGCGTTGACCAGAGCGTTGACCAAGGGGTTGACCAGAGGGTTGACCAGGCGTTGACCAAGGGGTTGACCGAGCATTGACCAAGAGTTGTCCGCGTTGACTCAGCGTTGACCAAGGCGTTGACCGGAGCTGCTGACCAAGATTCTGACCAAGCTGGAGTTGGTGATATCTCGCTGAGCCCTTAGCCTATCCCCTTATCCTGTGGATGTGCACTTACCCCACGGTACTTGCTGAGGCTGTCTGTCTCTCCTTTCTGCATTGAGTCTCTTCTATCCTAGGTGTTAGGACTCTGTGGATGAAGGATAGGGTTGGATGATGAAACCCTTGACTGACCTTGTAAAGCTGAAGCTGTGGCTGATCCAACTTTTCAGGGGGGCAGAACCCCTCCAAGGACTGGTACTGACCGACTGGAAACGGTTGGTAGGGCACAGTGGGCTGACCGGCAGCTGGGGCTGACGCACCAGCCAGTCTTTAAGTGTTGAGGGCCTGTTTGAACCACCCCCCTACCGGACCAAGTAAGGCTGATGATCTGTGTCTGACGACTCGACTGTCCCGGTGGACACGAACCCCTCCAAGGACCGGTACAAACCAACGGGCTGCTCGGTGTGGCACAGTAGGCCGAAAAGGTTGAGTTGTGGGTTGAAAGCACAGTCAGAACCACGCTGCTCACGTCGTCCTGACTGCGACTTTAAAGAATTCAAAAGAAGTTACGGGGGATCTCCTTAAATATTCCAGATCAGCTGATGGTTCAGTAGTGACAGCCGTAGAGTAGTCTTGGGTTAGTGACCTTAGAAAGTTAGTCAGTAGGTCATTGTCCGGGTAGGTCTAAGTGGTGAGGAGTGGGACCTTTGTCGTGCACCTAACACCACGATGGATGACTATCCGATGTATGGGTTGCTTGTTGGGTTCTCCCTCTTGGGGACCCTCTTGCGTCTCCTCTTTCCTCTGGGCTTCTGGCCCACTTTCACGTGTAGAGTAGGGACCTGGGGTGGTGCTTCCACCCAGCCTTACATGAAGGAGGAGGAGGAGAAGATGGCCGCCATTCTGAGAGAAAGGAAAGAGAAGAAGGAGGCCAAGAAGAAGGTCTTAATGGAGGAGCAGGCGACCAAGTTGAAAAAACTCGAAGAGGAGGCGGCCAGGGAGAAGGAGAGATTGAAGAAGGAAGAAGAGCAGAAGCTGAAGGAGGTGGAAGAGGAAGAGGAAGAAGATGAAACGCCACTGCAAAGGAAGAGAGGGCCGTACAGTGGCAGTAGAGATGAGGAGATGGAGAAACGGATTTCAGAGTGGGTCGCCAACTTATCCCTGGGCGAAGAAGAAGAGGTGGCGATGTATATCCCCAAGGATAACCAGGAAGCCGCTATGAGAGCGTGGGACGCAGAAGAAAATCTCCTTAAACGACAGGCGTTGGAGGATGAGAAAAGGATGGAGTGGAAGCTGGCAGTGATGAGGGATAAGAAGAGGAGAGTAGACGCGGCAGCAGACGCGGCGGAAGAATTGGAGGAGGTACAAAAGATAGAAGAGCAATTAGCCGCCCTGGCTGAGCTTCCAAAGAAAATGGAGGTCATAGCCAAAAACGTTGCACGCCTAGTACGAATTCTGGCAGAGCAATATGACTTCAGTAGGAGTCAACAGATAGCTGTGCGCTCCATATGATTGGGATTCCGGGACTTTGCTCGCGAGTTGGTAGGCGCTGAGGAACCGAGGTGGGCCATCGCCTCGAGAAGACTGAGCGGTTTTGTGTCGGCGCCATTGAAGGTGTCAAGGCGGCAGCTCCCAAGGAGGAGGAAGCACGTCCTCGCCGGGAGCCGGTCAAAGTCAAATTCCCCGATTCCTACAGTGGAAAAAGGGAAGAGAACTTTGACAACTGGGAGGCCAACGTCAAGACCTATGTGCATCTGCAACAGGTCTCCCCAGATCAGCACGTTCTGATTGCGATCCATGCGTTTAGAGATGAGGCCGCCAACTTTGCGAGGTCCTTAGTTCGTGCTGCCAACTGCAATGATGACGCAATTGCGTACTCCTCATTCACTCCCCTTGTCGATTTCTTGAAGTTGTTGCGCGAGAGATTTGCTGATGTCGCCCGCAGCGTTAAAGCCTCAGACAGGCTGCAGACGATCCACTCTCGCAAGTGGAAGAGTGCCAGGGCACTTAAGGGTTTCATGGACGAGCTTGTGGCTGTTCCTGACCATGGGGTCACAGAGACCCAACTGGTCGGCCTCTTTTACTGGGCTATGCCCGAAGCCTTTCGAGGGCATTTTTTCGCGAAGAGCGAAGACCCTGCCACCACATATGATTCTCTTAGTCGTGAAGTGGTGGCTTTTGAAGCCAACGTTTGTGTCCACCTTCTGGCACAAGGACTTGGACAAGGGTAAGCAATGGAAGGGCCGCACTATCTCAGGGCAAGTGAAGACTAAGGATAGTCTTGTCCTAACCTTGGATGAGGGTAGTGTGGATGACATTCCCTACGACCAGATTGAGTGGGGTTTAGAGGAGAAAGACAGCGGTGTGGGCCAGGGGAGAACTTACGCTGCTGTTGCGGCTGGAGGGAGGCCGCAAGGAGGAGGACGAGGCCAGGGCCAAGGGGGCCGGGCCTCAGGGAGCCGGTCCCAGGGCGATCAGGGGGTTGGCGGCAGGGGAGGAAACCGCCAAGCGGGAGGAAGGGGTCAAGGTCCCCCAAAAAACCGTCCAGGGAACAGGTCTCCCTATAGGGTAGGAGGATGGCACCCAGGGCTACCGCAGGGTAGGGCTTTGGAAACTTTGGGTCTGGACCAGAGTTTATGGCAACAGCGATTGGACCGGGGCCAGTGCATTTTCTGCGGTGACCCGGGCCATATCATCAAATTTTGTCCCAAGTATCGAGAGACCCGAACGGCTGCCCAAGGGCCAAAAGGCAGCCGCCGGTAGRGGTAGCAACTGCCCCTACCACAAGGCCATGAGGGGAAAATAGCGCTGGCCGGCAGGAGACTCCCACACCACATGTGCCTATGACATAGGTTGCAGGCCGGTGTCTAGATAGTTGTCCAGAGACTGCTTGTGTTAGGGTCTCCCTAGACACCTCCCTCACAGGCGTGGCCGAAGAGTTGAAGGAGAGGATGCCCGCCTGGGCCAAGATGAAAAAGGAGAATAAAGGGCAACTTATATTAGTAGATACGGAGATTTTTAGAGGTAGGGTAGGCGCCTTGGTGGATAGTGGAGCCACCCGTAGTTACATCAGTAGAAAGGCCGTGCAGAAGTTAAAGTTGCAGTTGAAAGTCCAGAAGTTAGCAGACCCTGTAGTCAGTATCCTCGCGGACAATCGCACGATGCGAGCAGAGGATTACGTAGAGGGAGTCCAGGCGTATTTCCTCTTAGAGAAGGATGGGAAAGTGGAGAAAGTTCTCCATTCCCTGACTCTCCTCGTAGAGGATAGCCTCCCATTTGATATAGTCCTGGGTATGGACTGGGGAGAGGCAGCAGGGGCCACATTCCACTTGAGAGAGCATGAGTGTAGGCTCCCTAGCCCGTCAGGCGACGTTAAGACTGCGCGTATGAACCATGTGTCAGGAGTAGATAACTCTCTGGCACATTGTTGCCTTAGTGCTCCTGCATTCGCAAGATTAGTGAAGAAGGAACAGCTAGAAGAACAGGTTTACGTAGCCTATGTTAGGTCAGTCACCGAGCCTAAGGAAGAGAAGCCCATAGACCCTGCTATTGCCAAATTGCTGGAAGAGTTTAAGGACTTAGCTGAGCCGCCGACAGGGACGGTGTCGCGGCCCATCCAGCATCGCATTGAGATAGAACCTAGAAGTAGGACTCCTAAGGGCGTTGTGTATAGAATGTCCTCGCGGGAGTTGGAGGAGCTTCGCAAGCAATTGGACGAGCTCCTTGAAAAGGGTTGGATTAGGCCCAATTCATCTCCTTTTGGAGCACCTGTTCTCTTTGTCCCCAAGAAGGAGGGAGAGTTGAGAATGTGTATAGACTATAGGGGTCTGAATGCTATCATAGTGAAGAATGTTGAGCCACTGCCTAGGATAGATGACCTCCTAGATAGAGTGCAGGGGTGCAAGTATTTTTCTAAGATAGATTTGAAGTCCGGATATCATCAGATAGAGGTTCACCCTGATGATCAGTACAAGACCGCGTTTCGGACTAGATACGGTCACTATGAATTTATAGTGATGCCCTTTGGACTGACCTGTTTAGGTGTTGGTTAGATAGGTTTGTCGTAGTTTATCTGGACGTTATCTTAGTGTTTAGCAAGACCCTCGAAGAGCATCAGGGTCATCTCAGGCAGGTCTTGGAGAAGTTGAGGGAAGCTAACTTCAAGATCAACGCAAAGAAGTGGGAGTGGGCAAAGACCCAAGTTTTGTATTTAGGTCATGTCTTAGACAGAGATGGCATCAAGCGCGAAGACAACAAGATTACAGCGATTAGAGATTGGCCGACACCGCGTACGTTGACAGAGTTGTGGTCGTTCTTAGGCCTAGCAAACTACTATAGGGAGTTTGTGAGGAACTTCTCCACCATCGCTGCGCCCCTTCGCAGATTGCTCAGGAAGGAGACCATCTGGAAGTGGGATAAGGACTGCACGTCTGCTATGAAGAAGTTGAAACAGGCGTTGATAGAATATCCAGTCCTTAAGGTAGCCGATCCGTCCTTGCCCTTTGTCGTCACTAGGGACGCTAGTCAGTACGGCATAGGTGTTGTGTTGCACCAAGATAATGGCCATGGTTATAGGCCCGTAGAGTTTATGTCCGTTAGAATGCCTTCAGAGAAGGTCGTGACATCTACCTATGAGAGGGAACTCTACGCTCTCAGGCAAGCCTTAGAACATTGGAAGCACTACTTGCTTGGGAGACACTTCAAAGTCTATTCCGATCATGAGACGTTGAGATGGTTAAAGACGCAGGCCAAGATGACACCTAAGCTTACTAGGTGGGCCGCAGAGATAGATCAATATGACTTTGCGCTCAAGCCAGTCAAGGGAAAGTATAACGTAGTTGCGGATGCTCTGAGTAGGAGAGCTGATTACTTTGGGGCAATCGTGCATTACCTAGACATAGGGAAGGACCTGGAGCAGAAAATTAGAGAAACCTATGCGTAGGACCCTATCTATAGTGACCTCCTCAAGAGGGTCAAGGAGGCCCCAAAGACTGAGCCGAACTACTGCACTACTGAAGGGTTGCTCTTTGAGAAGACTAATGTATTTGACCGCCTGTGCATTCCCAGTAGTGAAGAGATCCGTAATCTGATTTTGAGAGAATGCCACGACACAGAGGGTTATTTTGGTTGGCAAAAGACTTTAGCCAATCTGATGCGCGCATATACCTGGTCAGGGATGAAGAATGACTGCATAGAGTATGTTCGCAGTTGTAAAGTCTGCCAGCGTAACAAGACTTCTACGCGTGCCCCGTTAGGTCTTCTCAGACCCTTGCCCATTCCGGATCAGCCGGGAGACTCAGTGTCCATCGACGTCATGGACACCCAAGTCAAGAGCAGGTATGGTAAGAGCCAAGTCATGGTCATAGTTGACTGTTTTAGCAAATATGCAGTTTTTGTTCCTTTACCTTCAGAGGCACGTACTGATTTAGTGATACATAAGTTTTTTGACTGCTGGGTTAGTGAGAATAGAATCCCACTGTCAATAGTTAAGCGATAGAGACAGTCGCTTCACTAGCCAGAACTGGCGAGAACTCATGGGAGTGTACGAATCTAAGTTGTTGATGTCGTCTGGACGCCATCCTGAGACGAACGGTCAGACAGAGCAGATGAACAAGATCCTACAGCAAGTTTTGCGCATGTACATTAGGCCAAATCAGATTAACTGGGATGAAATGTTGCCTAAAGTAGCTAGTGCGTATAATAATAGCGTGCATCTGTCCACCTGCCGCACTCCCAACGAACTGCACAAGTCCTTTAGACCGCGCAGACCGTTTGAGGGACTCAATCGGGATCAGATTCACAGGTTACCCCCCGGAACCAGGGAGTTTGCTGTGCAACACAAGAAGGAACAAGCTACGGTTATAGAGAACCTCAGGAAGGCCCAACACAGGATGATAGAGCAAGCTAACAAGCATCGTCGCCCCTCACAATTCCAAGTAGGCGACTTAGTCTGGGTCAGTTCTAAAGAGTTTGCACCTGAGGAGAACATCTCGCAAAAGTTACTGCCCACATATAGAGGACCATGGCCCGTTTTAGAAGTCAAGGGTGGCGAAGATGGTCCATCCTACACCATTGAACTTCCACTACACCTCCACACCTACCTAGTTTTCCATGCATCAAAGTTATTACCGTGCACAATGAGTGATCAGTTCTCATCTAGACGATCCACGATTCCACCTTATATGGATGGGAGATACGACATAGACGGCATTGTAGGTGAAGATGTGTTCAGAACAGGAGGTAGAGGTCGTCCTCAGAAACAATACAAAGTCAGATTCTCATATCAAGAACCAGAAGACGACCGGTGGTTCATTAGGACTAAACTTTTAGAGACGGTTCCCGACATAGTCCGAGCCTACGAAAGAGATAGGAAAGGTAACGGTCCTGCCTTGGACTGAAATTTTCTCGGAGGACCTTGAATTTAGGCCGGCGGGAGTGAAACAGTATTCACCGGTTTGCAGTAGCTGATGCAGATCCCAGGGCTCGATCCCTAGTTCCCCACCTTACCTGTGTACAGTATCTGTGTCAACCCGTAGAATTGAACCTGCGACCTGTAGGACCGCTAGTGGTAGGTAGGATTTCGTAGGTCACAGGGTAGAAGGGAATCGAACTGTAGACCTGTCGGGTAGGAGTCTAGACAGTCCAAAGGTCGCAGCTGTAGACTGTCCGAAGGGTCAAGGTCGTAGCTGCTACTTACCTGAAAGGGCAAAGTCGTAGCTGCTATAGTACCGAAAGGCCAAGGTCGAGGTTTCTAGAAGTGGCCTTTCGGAGTTAGCCTACGTTAGGCAGAGGCAAGTGGTCAAGTGGTGGAGGTGCACCTTGCACAGTCAGCAGTCCCAGACCACCCAGTCCGGTCCAGTCCAGCAAGTACCGTCGGACTGTATGCACCATGGGCCAAGGGACACAGGGCAGACCAACGCAACACAGAAGTATAAATCAAGAGGCTGCGCCCAGCCATTCATTCATTCATGCGGAAGCCATGCGGAAGCGCTGCCTCAGCGTCTTGTGCAAGGAGGTCTGCAGGAGGCCCGAAGACGAAGTGGGCGAAAGTGAAGCAGTGTAGCCATAGCGATAGGTAGCGACAGCCATAGCTGTCATAGCTTAGTGTAGAGTGCAGTGTGTGTGTACTGTGTGAGTGTGCAGAGTGATGCGTGTGGGATATCCAGGGTGATCCAGAGAGTGTGAACAGTGAGTTGTTGGGCGCCCAGCCGCCATAGCCAATTACAAGGGAACTCTTATCTGGTTGCGATATCTCTGAGTACTGTGTGGGCGCATGTCGCCAGGTTGCTGTTTCGCTGGTTACATGCATGAAGAGTGTGACTGAGTCGAGTCTGATTGCACAGTCAAGGTTACAATTTTAAACCACCAGTCCCCCCGCCACGAAAAACCCCGGTGACCTGTGGCACAGTTTCCTGAGGGCTACCAGTAGCATAATGTGGAGAACCATCACAATTATGGCAAAAATGGAAAATGTATGAAACTTCCGCTGTGATTTATTTTGCAGTTGAAACAATTTTAAAAAAAAAAATATTTTTCCTGGAAAGATCACGACCTAGTCTACAGGCCCTCAAATTTTCAGGTATTTTCATCAATTTCTCTGACCGCGAAAAATCAATGAAGTTTGGGTACTATTCCGTTCGCACACACATCCCCAGGGCGACAAAAATGGAAAATGCAGTGAATCGGCGCAGCGACTATTTCAGGGTCAAAATGATTTAAAAAAAAAATTCTGATATCTTTCCTAGAAAGATTGCTACCTAATCTACGGTATCCCAAATTTTCAGATTTTTTTGTTGATCATTTTTAGTGCAAAAAATCGCCAAAGTTAGGGTACTTTGTGAATGTGGGATAAGGGCCCGCCAGTAACCAACGGTCGCCGCCCCTCCGAAAAATCTGGCTCAAACTCATCGAGGGCACGCTTTCGGGTGTCGGGGGGACTGCTGGTTTAAGTGCGTTCCAGTCACAGTTTCATGAATTTTACTCAAAAGCGAAGAAAATCGTGAATGTATCCAACCCAGCTTTAGGGTTGGGTGGGTGTAGAGGCTTACAGCAACGGGCGAACGTCTGAACCCCTGATTTTTTGTTACCTTCCTTTTGTAAATAAAAGCGTCTAAGGTGCTTTCTTGAAATGCTAGGGGACAATGCATGGATACGATGGCCAACCAGGCCTCCAACGCTCACAAATGTTTTTCGCATTGTTTGTGCTTCTTCAGACTTTCGGAATTCTTTTGTTTTTCGTAGGAATTGCACGCGCCCGAGCGAGCGCGCTAGGGATTTTGTTCGGCAGTTAGGATTTCTGAAGTTCACAGGTACACTTTGGTGACGTGTTTTTTTCTTGGCGACAAACCCAGCAAGGCACCGTGAATTTTCAAGATCGAACATAGGAATTCGCATGTGGAATTTGTTTTTGAATTTTTCAATCTTGAATCTGTTCTTCTTTTTAACTGGTTCTTGCCCTTCTTTTTCGTGCTTCTTTCTCCTTCTTAATCCGCCTGAAGTGGTCTCGCCCTGCACTACTTTTCGTCCCTTCTCGTCCCCGCCCTCATCTTCGTACAGGCAGTCCCTATCGACTCTCGAACGTTCGAGAAATCAGACGGTAGCCTGTAAGAAGGCTCTGATCCTCACTTGCGCTACAGTCTGATTGGCTGCGAAGTAGTTCTGCGGATTGATATGGCCTCCTCGAGGTCATTTTTCCCTTCCTTCGCCCTTCCCCACTAGATTCTACCTTCTGCCTTTCTTCTGCACATCTCTCACCCCTTCTCCCACAACTATAAATCCTGTGAGCGCATTCCCTAAGCTCTCTCGCAATCCATCAGCCAGCTGTGTAGTAGTAGTGGCTAGATGAAGTGGTGATCGACGTATCGAAAAGTCTAGACGAGCTGACTGAGACCACACAAGGTTGTGCGTCAGATAGCCACGGCGGATCGGGGGGGCAGTGAGTCAGTGTAGTGATCGTGTTAGCGGGGTAACGATCGCATCTTGGTTGTTGTGCGGTATGTGGCGGTTGGGATTGTCAGTAGCTGGTCAAGATTAAATCGTATGCTCACGATCGGTTGGATGGCCAATGGCCATAATGTGAGAGCAGAAGGCCTACGTGCCTTGTTTTTCGTCTTCTTCTCCATCATTTTGGAAGTCAAGTTTACGGCGAGGCGCGACCTTCCTCTCGGGATTCGGTATTTATCTTGTTCTTTCTATCTTTGTGGATGATAAGCAGCGAGTATACCCAAATTTTGCTCGTTTGTGATGAATGGTTTTTCCATGCTTGCCTTTGCACGTGTTGTTATAAATTGGAAACGCTATAGATGAGATCTCTTTGTCATCATTTGGATTTTATTGCGATTGTGTACGGGAATTTTGTCCTCGTTTAACGGATGTGATAAATAGAATGCTCGAGGATTAGCGATTGTTCGATTGAATCTTTCCTTGTACTTCGAGTGAATGGTGATTGAAGCTTGCACGGCTAGTTAGCTCGACAGCATGGTTGATGCATGATTAGAAGACTGACGCAGTGGCTATGCTATGTGGACTAATGATGTTAATCCATTGGGGCACTATCTCCCCGTATCTCCGTCGACGTGTCCCTTCACTTACAATGAGGAAGGCCAAGTGTATGCAAATGGGATGTATGAGGAGTCGTCGCTAAGATAGGATGTAGCTATCACTTCCCCGTGGAAACTAGGTGTTCGGGGTTTGTGAATGCTGGTTTTGTGATTGTTGACACCGATTTCCCAGCTTATTGCCTTTTGCTCCCCTTTAATGAGTTGAATGTTATCCTGTGGATGGCAGTTACGCCTTACTGGCCGTGCATACTCTGCAGCGAGTGTCGCCGAATTGAGCAATTTCGGGCTAGAGGGTTCAACTAGAGGACACGTGGAGAACATGAGTTTTGAGAGAAGGCCAACACTCTTTGGCCTTCCACGTCGGATTCGGAGCTGTGCGAAGAACGGTGACGAGACTTGGTTTGAAATAGAGAGCCCACGGAAGTTCCCCAGCCTGTCCGGTCGAAACGACGGCGGA